TAAATATACATTTATATACATATACATATATACATACATATACATATATACATACATATATAATCAAGGTGATCTTTTTGTAAGTCATCAAGGGTGAGAGGGCTCAACCGGTGGGGAGAAAAATAAAACGAACAAAGTAGACAAACTTAGAAAAATTCCATATGCATTTATTACTACAAGTTTGTTTCGTATGGACAGCTGTTAAAAGCTGCCCACCCTCATCAGGTACAGTGAGTAGTCATTGTACAAGGATTACATTTATGCTAAGAGATATGGGTAATATACGTTGCTATGGTTCCTACGATTGTCTAACTGAGGTGTTAATATACAGATATTGCCTGCTTAGAGGTGTAATATAACATTTGATATCCCCGAAGGAATTATTTTTTTCGAGGTATTCGCGTTATCATTGATCGTTTAGCGTACAATTCACTGTTTGCTCTCCTTACCTCGGCGAAGATTGACCGGAGAAACGCGTTGGGCTCCGTTGCTGTGAAATTTTCAATGCAAGTAGGCCTAGGCCTAATTGATGATTCCTTGGCCTTACAATATTCACTGAGTAGTCCTACATTAACGGATGAATTCACAACAAATTTTGTACACCGAGAATCCTTTTCGTCAGTAACTCTATATAATTTGTCTTCGTCGAGAGATTTAAACTTAGGACTATTTGAAGTCGCCATTTTCGAAGTGCTAGGCTTACAAATTCACAATTCGTGAGCGATCGATCGTGCGCTCGACTAGCATTCACTACGGGCGCAATGCGGGTGTAATCCGGTGACGTCAGAGACCGGTCACTTTCAGACTACAAACTGGGCATTCAGACTGTGTTCTCGGCACATAATGTTCTCGGCACACATCATTTTTTGTAGTCTGAACGCATACTAATGGAATTTATGTCGAGCACAGAATGTTCTAGCTAGAACCCAGTTGAACCACGTTCTCGGAACAAAATGTTTTCGAACTACGACTCTGGAATGAAGTCTGAACGTGTGCCGAGCATAAAATGTTATAACTGGGCGGGCTTTAGTGTGACCTGACCTGCTTTGACATTCTTCCGAGGCGCAATGTACACATGTTAGGGCATGGAGGAATTCCTCCATGGTTAGGGCAAATAGAAAAATTGATTAGATTATCACTCCCGCCAGCGTAAAAAATTCAGAAAATATTGATGCGGGAATAATTTTTTTTTTTTTTTTGCCGCATCAATTATTTCAACAGCATAAAAATAACAATGCAATTTTGTGACTTCAAATACATTTTCTTTAAAAAACTATAAAATTAAACCAGTTTTTATACAATATATTACAGACCAAATATAAACAGTCCCCTCACTCATCGATAAAAACAAAGGCGAAATAGGCCTAATATATTTTTCCGATTAAAAAAAAACAGCCCTTCATCATTTTTTAGATCATAAGAGTGATAATCTAATAATATTTTCTATGTGCTCTTATAGTACAGCAGTACTACTGTTTAGTACAGTAGAAATAAGGTTTAACCCCCCAAAAAATGCAACAAAAGGTTTTTCAACGGATTTTGGTAGTATTGAGTGTGCTAAATAACATAAAAAAAGTCTTATGAAATCCGACCACCGGAAAGTGGTTTTTTCCAAGATGGCCGCCAAAATGGCGGCCATACCATAAAACAGCTACAAATTGTGATATAATCGCGATCTTTTTAAAACAATATCAAGTTTTTTTCAAGATGGCGTCCAAGATGGCCGCCATGTATAAACAGTCATAAATCAGTACTTACTTTAGCAATTTTAAGTGTCGTCATTTTTTGATCAAAACAAAGAAAGTTGTCATCTAAGATTCTATTGATTAACCAACAAGTTTTTGTAAACAAGTAGACTGGAATTAAGGACCAGGCTTGCTATATTTAATGTATTTTGTAGTTTACGATAAATCAATAGTCATCTGTTTCCATTTCGCCCTCTTCATCATCTATTACTTTCTCTACATTCTCACATCCCTCAAGTTGACAGGCTCCACAGGCTGATGTGCATGCCAACCCATAGCATCTGCAACGTGGTGTTTTACATCCAGTAGTGCAACTGCAATGGATGATTTTTAAAAGTTGACAATGAAATTTACTGGCAGATGTAGTTGGAGGTAGTTGCTGAGGCGTCACAATCGATACCCCCAACAACTTTCTTGCTTACATCTGAAGCTATCAAGTGAATCAATGGATTCAGTCCCAAACAGGATAGCCATAGCCTTTCTTACAAATTCCACAATTACATCACTGTTCTGATTTGGCTGACTAAATGCTTCAGCACATAATCTAAGAATCTAAATCCCCCTCCACCAATTTCTGGAAAGCTGCTTCTTTACTGATGCCAAAAATGCAAGATGTTGAATCACAACCCGTAAATCCTGATGATGACATAATTAATGTCGAAATATTGAATCCCGACACGATGGCGTGCGTTTTGATACTTGGAGTATGTATCTGCTTGTTATGCCTCGAAAGGAACTCATCCTTTTTGCCATCAAACTCGGTATTAGCCGTAAAGTTTACATCTGGGTGGATATTCTGTCCTGTTCTTTGATAGGTATTGTCTTTTATAGAAGGAGTCCCATCAACTATCAAATACAACAGTTGCCAATCCATACTCTCTCCTGACGAACTCTGAGTATGCCTGTACAATTGTGCCGTAAATGTCTCCTCTCTTCCATAAGTAATGTAAAAGGGAGCCTCCATCTAGATCACAACATTCAGTTTCCGGTACAGTGTCGTAGATTGCTTTAATTGACAGCTTACTTGCATGATCTATAACAACTTAAACAAATTGTGTTTTGTTGGCCTTCCTAAAAATGTTTAGTCTCAAAAAGTGATGGTGGAAACGGACTAAGTTCATTATTCATTACATTTTCTAATGTAAGATCTCCCGATTTGACACGACAAGGAATCTTTGGAATAAAAATGGCAGGGTCAATGGTTCTATCAGGAGCAATTTTAATGGCTTTTTCATCTCAAAGTGTTTTGGCTTTATCTTTTCTTTTGGCTTTACCTTTTCTTTTGCATCGTGAGTGGATTTCCCGCACGATTAAAAATCGTGACGGTATTGGG